CCCACTGCCTGACACCTCTGTGGCTCCAGCAAGCCTCACCTCTTCACCGGCTGCAGCAAAGAGCAGGAGGTCCGGCACACCGTCCCCATCGACATCCGGGACGGTCAGTAAGGGGCTGAGCACCGTCGCATTCGTTGCCAGCCCGGCTGTCACCCTCCACACTGTCTTGCCTGCCGGGGAACAGGGAAAGTGACGTCAGTTCAGATAACCCTGTGGAGGAGGAAGTGGGCTTCCTCCTGGGGACGGAAGGGGCTCAGATCCCCACCCTTGGGAGTCTGTGCCACAACAACCATCCAGGCAAGAAGGGATAGTGAGGGTGTTTGTATTCATACAGGGCGTCAGTTTCACCCGTGGCTCACGCAAGAGTCTGGTCACGGCAGAGGGGCAACTCTGCTGCCCCCAGAGAGGCTGTGCTGGTGTCCACTGGGGTTGCTCTAGAGATATTTCTGTGCCTTTGCTTCTAGGAACAGGCAGATTACAGAGCTGGGCCCTGCGATATATCAGCCTGCCCATAAAATGAGCCCAAACCCAGACAGTGAGAGAGAAACAAAGACTGGGGATGTCAGTCGCAGCCAGATTGTATCTGGTGTGGGGTCTGCCACTCTGTAGGGGCACTTGGCTGGCTGGTGGTGAAAGCAACACGCTGGCCCAAAAGAACTGGCTTCTTTCTTCCAATGAGGAGGAGCTGTTTTCAAAGAAGTACAGCTCTGGTCTCCCTGGACCTCAAAAAGGGCCTGGCAGTGCTGGAGAAAGTGCACAGGAGGGGAGACCAAGACGATGAGGGGGCTGGAGCCCCTCTCTCCCGTTTGGAAAAGAGATGGCCGGGGGTGGGAGGGGGGGTGTAGGAGGGCACTCTGCTGACTGCGTGGCAAACCCGCACGAGGGCACTGGTCTCCTGCCTGATCTCCCGGAAAGGTTGAGAACCGAGTATTTAGGCTAATTGCTCTAGGCAGAAAACATCTGCTGCTTCACTGTGAGAAGCTACCTTGGCAGGGTGACAAAAGATAAGGAGCTGTGAGGTTGAAGTCAATACATTCCAAGCCATGAACGTATTCCTGTAAAGGAGGGAGACCGGGGAATTAATTTGAATAAATATCTCTGCTCCGGGCGGCCAGAGACAGAGTTTTTCCAGCAGCCGTTTGTCTGTGTGTCTTCTTTGAACCCTCCGAACACCACAGGGGGGAGCAAGACAGAAGTTTCTACGCACGGGGTGGAGAGATTGTCAAGCGAGAACTTTTCCTCCCTCTCCCAAAATACTCACACTCACGGGCACTCAATGAAAGTGATGGGCAGCAGGTTCAGGACAGACAAAGGGAAATATTGCTTTACACAGAGAGTGATTAAAACGTGGGATTCGCTGCCAGAGGATGGAGTGTGGTGCCCATAGGAATAAACAGCTTTAAAAGAGAATGAGACAGACACGGAATCCTCTGAATCCCAGAGCCAGGAGGCAACCTCAGGGGAAGGCCTCAGCCTCTGTGCCCTGTTGTTGGCCTTCCAGAGGAACTGGTTGGCCACTGTGTGAGACGAGAGGCTAGACGAGATGGACCATTGCTCTGATCCAGCAGAGCTCCTAACTGAGGAACACGCAAACGTCAGTCATGAGTAGGAAGGCAGGGAGCTCCTACGATAGGTGTTGTGTTTTAAGTCCCTGTAATGTGGGGGGTGTCGTCGACAAGGAGGGTTTTCCCCCACAGCTGTAAAGGCGTGCAAAGCCCAGTGCCATCAGTCTGCACTCCTTCTTCTTGCAGAGCTCGGCTTGCCAGCTTTTTGCCTGGCACCGGGACGGCTGAGCCTTGGACTGTGGGCCCCTGACGCTGGATGCAGGGCAGGCAGACATTGGTGCCTCTCTGCGTTCCAACGGGGCGAGCCTACCTGTCTTCAAGTCAACGGCTGCCAGAGAGGCTGGCTTGCCCAGGACCAGGCAGCCTTGGGAACCGCCGTACTGGAAGGAGCAGTCCATGAACTGGAGGTCTTCAGCCACGGGCTCCTCCCAGAGGGTGCTGCCGTTGGTGCCTGAAACGGCGGCGATGAAGGCACAGGGAGACGGGAGGCCTGGGGAGAGGGGAGGACAGCCGCAGCGAGCACCTCGAAGGAGGAAGGTCTCTGCTTCACACGCACACCCCGCCTGCTCACACCCCCCCCCCCTCGTCCAGTCCCCTTACCTTCTCCGGAGCAGGACCTGCTGGTGCTGCTATTGCTGCTGCTGCTGCGGCTGCCGTCGGAAGCCCTGAAGGCAAAGAGGATGTCCTGCACTCTGTCCTGGTCCACATCTCGCACTTCCAGGGCTTTGTAGGCTGCTGCAAAGAGAGGCAAAGGGCACTGTCGCCAAGAGGGCCTCAGCCCCCGGGGGGG